TCCCTTTAGAAAGCGACAAACCCGCACGCTTTTCGCTGTACTGTAAGATACAGTATTCACGCCCCGTAATTGCACGTTGGACTTGAAATAGATAACTGTAGTGTTTTCCAGCGCTTCAACTTTTACTACTTCACGCTAGTTGTACGATTAGTAATGGATGAAGTGTGCACGTGTGTACCTGTGCTTGAGAATACGCAGTTTAGAAAGCGACCCCTCACTCGGCGTTCGATGCTTTTTAAACGGTTAAACCCTTCAGAAATTCTGCTACCTGCGAGACGCGGCAAAACGATTCCTAGCAAGTGTGTCCCGTCAGTTTCCCGCCTTTAAACGACACTGCCCATTTCGTCGTAGCGTTACCTGAGCGGAAAACAGCATTCCTTTTAATGATTTAAGAATAAGGTTCGCGTTTAAGCACAAGGCGGTAAAAATATAGAGAGACTTAAGATCCCGACTCCTCTTTCGAACGTGCTGAATGAAAAACGCGAAACGAAAGGCGCACGTGCATGAAATCGCTGCGCGATTGTACGAGTTAAAGCTCGTAAATCCTCACCGTGCCTGTTTCCGGGTAACGAAAAAGACCTAACTGTTTATCAGCCGTTTAAGCTATTGTTAAGGTCGGCGTCTAAGTCAGACGTTTAAAATCTTCACGCCGTGTGCAATAACGACGCTCCGCTACCTAAAAACCCGACCAGCTACGCGGTGGACTTTGCACAATGGTACGACAGACACTTCGAGGAAGCTTCGATTCCAGTACATCCCCCTGAAAGAAACCTCTTACAATTGCGCTCGAGCGAGCGTTAATTAACCGAACGTTCCCTCCGAACGTCCGTTTGTCTACGCGGTTGGGATTTTCTCTGACAATCGCGTAATCTCTTTTGCACTTTAAAGAAATATATTTTTAGAGCAAAGTCCCCCCCCCCCCCTATTACGAGATAGGCTCCTAATATGGGATAGCGGGGTTTCCGTTAAATTAACAGACGCCATTAGCCGATTCCACCGTGAATTCATTGCCCTTGGAGCGAAGTCGGTGTTTAGTGGAAAATCGATCGTTGGCTCGCGTAATCGTTGCGGCAACAAATCGATTGAACTTGGACGTCGAAAACCTGCTGTCTCGCATTAGAATCCTATAACACAGGGGACTTTCCTCTGCATCTTTATCCCGCGAACACAGCGGCGGTACGTGCGCGCCGCGCGTCGTCCCTTTCCCCCCCCCCCCTCTCCCCTCCGCCCACGTCGCGGCTATAAAGGGAAGAGCAATGGGTCGCTAACCAGGATTAATCAAGCCGCAGACTGTCGGCGCGCGATTCGCCCTTTAGCCGTCACCTCGTTAACAGACACGTCGCCGCGCGGCACAAAGACCGCGCGCGCGCGAATTCGCGCCGGGCAATTTTCGAATTTGGCCGACGAAAACGGCGCCGTACACGGCCCATTGTCATGGTAATGGCCGAGCGGCGTGACGGGCGCGATCGCTCCCCGGCACGTCCGGGTGTGCGCGCATCCTTTAAAATTTAAATCGACCCGTCGAACGGTCCGGCGCGATCGGAAAAAAGGAGAGGAAGAAAAATAAAGAGAGAGACGGAACCGCCACGGGGGGGGGGAGGGGAGGGGAGGGGAGGGGAGCCCGGGCGCTCGACCTAATTCGACCGGGCCGCTGATAACGGTGACGTCACGCAGCGTGCTCTACTCGTTACTAGTCACGGACCGTAGTACGTGACGAGCGCGGTGACGAGCGTGACGATAATAGTACTAGCATCGCGTACTACGTGTGTTACGCGTTAATGTTAAACCCGCCGTCGCCGCTCTCGTGACACAAATTCGACCCGGCGACGTTTGACGTCTTTAATCGCCGCCGCGAAGCCTGTCGGGGGCTGTCGGCGGTCGCAGCCGCGCGGGGACCTTATCTCGCGTTCGCGTAATAAATTCATGCGGCCGCGACGCGGGGTCACAACGCCGATCCGCGCGCGGCAACGCGCACCGCCCGCGGTGCCGGGGACACGTGACTCGCGAGCGGTATATCGAGGATACCTTTTCTTTCTCTCTCTCTCAATTTTACTCCCGGTAGCGCTCCCTCGCGCGCGCGCGCGCTTTTTGTCTCGCGCTTTGCGCGCGAGACGCTGGAATGTGGGGGAGAGCGGCGTGCTTTTTCCGACGCGAGGAGAAGAGAGACGAAAATTAATGCGCGCGAATTAAATTATCTCGAGAGGGAACTGCGGAATATTTCCGCGCAGCCGGCCGCGATATTTTAGTCTCCCGGATCGGGCGCCGCGCACGCGCGCGCGCAGGTCGCGTGTTCGTCGCGGAGAAGCGCGAGAAACGTGAGAAAACGAAAGTACGGTGGCCGGGGTCGCTCTCTCTCGCAGATCGATAGCGGCCGCGGTTCTCTCTCGTCGCCAACGTCGTCGCCGTCGCCCTTCTTCCGGTCGCCGACGACGCTCTGCGCGAGCTTGCGCGGTGATGTCATATACTCGGCCGAGTTTACGCGTGTTTGTAAACAGGCCGTGCGGCGACCAAGAGAAAGAGAGAGAGAGAGAGAGAGGGGGGGGGAGGGGGAGAGAGGAGCCTTTCGGCAGGACCGGGTTCGGACGCGGGCCCTTTATTTGCCGAGACGACTCCCCTGTGCACCTGCCGAAAGGCTGCTAATAACAATGGGCACTGTCGGACTCGATGCCGGATAACGACGAGGCTGTAACGGCGTTCTTTGCGTTAATTGTAGATTGCATTGTCGCGTTCGATTCGGCGAGGTGAACCGATGACGCTTTGTTCACAGAGAAAGGCCGTCCGCGGCCCGCTCTGCGCGGCTTTCCAGGGAGCGAATTTTCACGTTGCAAATATTTGTAACGTTACAGGACACCCGATACGTGTCGTACCATGTATTCCGTGTGTCGCGTTGCAAATGCAATCGGCGATATTGAATATTTTTGCGCGAGCCGCGGCACCGCAAAGCCGCTAATGACGGCACCGAAGGGGCACTTTTGTCGTAATGACGATCGTAACGGAGGAGACCGAGCAGAAACGTTTGCGATTGAACGGCCGGCTCCCACGTGTCTCCAGCACTGCGAGCTGGATCTGCGCAGACGTCTCGCGTGCGTTCCTTCCTCGTGTAACCTGGCTTTGTCGAGCCACGGTTGCGTCGCTCTCTCGTTTTCTCGTACGCGGTCGTGACGTCACGCGCTGCAACTTGAGCTGCGGAAGAGAGAGAGGGGGGGGGGGGAAGAGAGAGAGAGAGAGAGAAAGAGAGAGGCCACGTTAAAACCGAGCGCGGGAGGGGAACGGAGGGAGGGGTGACACGCGCTATACCGGGTGTCCAGAGTATCGCGTCGATCGGTAAACCGAGTTTCGACGAGGAATTCGAAGGGAGACTGCGTAAACGGTTATCGGCGAGATATTCAAAAATTTCAGAGTAAATTCCTTTTGAGAAATTTGGAAAAATTAAGGAATTCAACGAAGGGAGACTCGCTCGAGGGCTCGCGATTTACTTGGAGCTCGCGTAAATCGATGACGAGATCTCGTTTCTCGGTCAACTTGTATCCGAGATACCTGCCCCGCGAAACGAGAACGCAGTGACCGGTCTCGAATTTTTATCGCGAGCAAAACGACCTGCCAAAACTCGTCTCCGTTGCGGCTGCAGGAGCGCGCGGCGCCTCTGGGACACCCCGTACGCGGAACGGTGCGTCAGGCACGCACGCAAGCCTGTTACCTACGCACGCGATGACGCCGTCCGTGTGTGGCCGTCGCCGCCGGCGAATTTTGGGAATATCGGACGGTCCGACAGCGCCTCCGGATTCTATAACATGAACGAGACGCGGTGCGCGTCCAGCGTTAAGTTGCGGCCGCACGAGTCTCTCAATTTGGCGTTAAACGTCAATGAATGAAACCTAGCGCCACGCTGTGCGCAATTCGTGATCCGCAGTTTGTCATTCGTAATTTGGTATTTGTCGTTTCGTTCGTGTTAACTTGGACAACTTTTAATTGCTGGGACATTATATAGATAAAATGAGATAATGAGGTAAAGCAATGCCCACTGGGCACTAGTGGGCCTTGGTGTACAAGATTTTGGTCAGCGGTTTCCCCCTCGGCGAAAACACACATCCTCATCCGCTGCGTAATAAGGTGACTCAGAAACATTTCTGAGTCACACTTCAATGTTGCATCGCGCGTATCATACCCGTATCTATCGCAATATAATTGTCTATAACCGTTATTGCTTAACAATTCGTTCGCCGCTCGTGCTCGGCTTTTACGAACTCGTGAGGCATTTCGCAAACGAGATCGTGACGATTCGCCGACGTTTCTCACAGCCAGTCTTCCATGCTGTGTGCGGACTTTGTTCCCATAAGTTTTTTTTTTCCATCCTCTTTTCCGCCGCCGGGGTCTGCACCGAGAGAACTGTCATGTGTACCGATCATTCGCCACGTGGTATGCGCGTCATGCGTCTCTCTTCTGCACGTCTGCATTTCATCAATTGGCATTGATGCACTTTCCACGGTTCACCGGTGCACTGTCCCTCGATTTCTCCGAGACCAAATTCAGGCCAGCCTTCAAATTCCCGACCCGGCTGTGTTGGCTTTAACGATATCGCGTATGAGTTATAAAGTGAAGCCTTTCTTCACGGCGGATGTCGAGAGAAATGAATGACCTCTTCGCGAGGTTAAGACTTATACAGGAACATAGAATTTTCCGAATTTTACTTTCGAATCTTGAAATTATCGTTTGGAAAGAATCTATCGCAATATCGTTCTAGAGTGCAACACTTTATTACCGAGACAATAAAATTATACGCACGAAGTTGTTAGAGGAAAGTTCTCTATCATGAGATACGTTTTTAACACCCAAATTTAATGGCAAATCTTTTCCCGCAACGATTACACGATCTAACAATGAATTTTCCACTAAACAGATTTCGCTCCAAGGGCAATAAATTCACGGTGGAATCAACTGACGGTGTTTGTTAATTTAATAGAAACCCCGCTATCCCATATTAGGAGCCAACGTCATAATAGGAGACTTTCCTCTAAAAATATATTTCTGTAAAGTGTAAAAAAAAGTCTTTTATCGCTGACCCATTGCTAGATTTTGTATCGAGCTAGCGTTATGCACGATTCCACAGTAGACTCGCAGAGATTGGTCGCTCAGATCCTCTCGCGTTGTTTGCGATTCGAGGTTCATAGTTTGTACATGTATGCTAACATTGACACGTTGTTGATTCGTCGCGATTTGCGCCCTTCGATTTTGTCGAAAAACCGCTCCACTGGCGAGTCAGCACGAATGGTCAACAACGGACGCGAACGTGGACGGGGTCGTCTGCCTGTCCATTCGCTATTCGCGAATCTCGTACGAATCGCGAGCTACAAGTGACTGGGTGCCGGCTGGGCCGCGCTCAAGCCGGAGGCCGCGGAACCCGTCGCGACCAATTTGCGCGGCCGATCCGGCAAACAGGTGAGAAGTCGGTGTCTATTGCGGCGACATGGACGGCACGTACATCGAACTGGAGAACGGACTCGCGCCGGACTCGTTCGGGCTGCTGCTCGCCCGCCTCTTTCTCGCCTGGTACCGCTTCTGCCGCTTCACGATCTGGATCATTTCTACCTCCTGCACGATCGAGAATATCTTGGTCTTGGTGATGTTGAGGTAGTAGGGGCTCAGTGACTTGAGAGTCGGCGCGATGCCGGCCAGGAAAGCGTCCACCGAGTGGGACAGGGACGACGCGATTTGCAGCCCGAGATCGTTGCTCTCCGCGGGATCATTCGTGCTCGTTAATTCGGGGATAAACAATGAGTCATCCTCGATTAGGACCTCCCGTTTCGGCTGCTCGTTCCTCGCCGTCAGTTCCTCGCCGTACGACCTGTTCGCCGCGTCCTCGGTCACCTCGGGATTGCCGGCCGGCCTCGTCTGCAAATCGCGATCGTCATCGCGCCTCACCGGCGGCGTCTCTTCCGCCGTCGGCGGAACCTCATCGCCTTCCCTAATAGGACCCGAGTGATTGGGGTCTCTCTCCTTTATGAATGGCAGCAGGAAGGTTAACTGGTTCTCGTATCTGTATCTCATGTTCTTGGGCTGTCCAGTCAGTCCGCTTCTCGCGACTCGTTTCTTCAGGGACTTCCGGTAGTTGTCCCTGATGTTGTTCCATCGCGTCTTGCACGTTATCGCTGAATCAAGTAACAACAAAGTATTCGCGGGTTATTATATGCGTAACACGTCTATCTCGAGGATCTGCCTCTTTCGATCCCCGCCTCGCGCGGCAATTTCGCTCGTAAATCTCTCAATTAAACGCGCGCTTACGCCTCGCCTCAATCTACATCGGAATGAGTCCCCGGCTAATTCTACATAAACGAATGGTGGAAAGTTAGCTGCTGTTAACATTCGAAATTAAGTGGCGCATAACTTGTTACTCCAGAGTCTAACTACGCTACCGGCGTGTAACGCGTTCTGACGCGAGAGCACAAAGCGTAATCGATTTTACCTGAGTGCCCGAGGTACTGCGATATCTCTTTCCAAATGCGTTGCTTGTGAGCCCCGCCGACGTATCTCTTGTCAGAAATGTCGTACAGCTCTACGTGCTGTCGCACGCACTCGATGAGCATCTCGTCATCCATCGGAGACAAATCTACGCAATTTTCCAATTTTTGTTTTGTTTTTTCGATCCCTTCGCTGCAGCTCGTTAAAACGCGCGCCGGTTCCACGCGGATTGCGCTAAACACTGTTAAAGCTTATTCTACAATGGACGCAAAACGCTAAGCCGCGCAAAAAATCACTTGCAACTCAAACGGTCAAATTCTATGGCAATAACATTTCATAAAAGATTACATGTGATTTCTGTTATTTTGTTACACAAGTTACCAAGCTCCTTGAACGCGCCGGTACGAACCACATGAACTGCGCCGGTTCACGGAACGGACGTTACTGACATCGGTACCGCCGCTAGGCGGAAAGCCCCTTTGTGGCAATTCGCCGCGGACTGACACGGACTGACACGGACTGGCACGGACGTGCAAGCTCCGTCGCCGACCGGCACGAGTTGACGACGAGTGAATTTCATTATTGAACACAGACGGTTAGTGCCTACGACGAGTACTGTTAATTTATTCCCTCTCCTTTCAATTATTCATTAAAGATTTTTCAATAACGGGACAAGCGCTAACGTAACGTAAGAAATTAAGTATCGAAAGGTGGACACTAACGTGAGAAATTTGTGAAACCAAGTAAATAGATTTACTTCAAATTATTTATACTTAAATTAAAGCAATGCTTTAATTTAACTAATAACCAATTCATCGAAATTGATTTAAGGAACAATAAAAATGTCAAGGACGCGACACATTAGTCGTATGTTTATCTTCTAGCGTCCATTCAATGTTTCCGCGAACTGACCAGCGTTCCGGACACAGTCATCATGTGTCATCCGCGAGGCTTCAAGGTGTAGCGAGCGCTCCGTGTCGTCGCATTATTGCTGCTCGAAACGCGATAGCGACGAGCACCAAGAGAAAACGTCCCCGCTTTACCTCGCTCGATTAATTAAATCCCAATTAACGATTCATAAGCGAGACGACGACTCGTCGAAGACGATACCTCGCGCGGTCTATTCTCATTTTCAACAAGACTCGAGGAGGACGGGAATTGTAAATTATTGCGCACTCGCGATCGATAATTATTTATGCAATTTACCCCCAACACGACCTGTATCTCACATTACGAATTTTTCATCGATTTCAATCTAATTTGCCTAAGCATTCTTTGTGCAATCGAGTGCGCGTGGCGTGCGCGAGTTACCGATCGCATTTCAAATAATGGAAAGCGAAGCCGCGACGAATTCATCAATAATACGTGAATTCCGCGAAATTTATTTATTGTCGAAAATGCATCACGCACGTGCGTGTAATACCGGATTTCGGATAGCCTCTCGCGTTTTAATTAACCGTTAATTTGATTCCATTAATCGCGCGTCGCGTCGGGGTAAAACTGCACGCGCAATTTTCGTATCTTTCGATTATTAACAAAATATCGCGGATATCAAACAGACATCACGAGGCATTTAATCGATAAATACAGTCGCAATTAAATGTTGTATGTACTTCTTAATTGTTAAATTCCCCCCAACGTCCGTATGCGACGGAAATTTCTATCGACAATTTCTACCATTCGAAAAGCTCGTCCTCGCTCATTCGCGAAACATCGCGACAAGTGGATCTCGGCCTTCTTGTGCGATCACATTTTTCTGCTATTGACTTTTCGCTACAACGATTTATGTCAGGAGAGTCGCGTTCGATCGCGTTCTCGTGAATGAGTTTTGCGCGAGCGCGACAAAGGACTTTGAAGGGAGGAGATATCGGGTGCCGGCCGAACAATCAATTCAATTCCTATTTTCCATTTGTTGTTCGCAATTATATGGTGCCTGGAACGATTTTTTTTTTAAGTACTAATCACTTGGGGCGCTGCTAATTTGGATATAGTCGTATTTTGCAACTGGACGCAACTCGTGTAATAATAAAGTAGCATGTTTAAAACATGACGAGAAAAATCAATGGCATGGAAGTGCGTCTATTTTTCCCTCGAGTATTTTTAAATAAAATTTATAATATTTTAAATAGATTTACATAGATGGGCGGAGAGTTCAAACGATTAGAGAGTTTTAACGTATGCATAATACGTCGCAAATATAAGTCGCGATCGTATCGTACTACGCCGTGATTTACTTAACGAAAACGCTTAGTTATAATATGAATGACATTTATTCTAAACGCGAATTTTATTCCAGTTGTTTATCGTCGATCCATCGTTACGATAATTTCAAAATGTCAATCGTCGGAAAATTGCGAACATCTGCAAACGTACATAAAAATATCGTGCAAAGGTTTGAAATCTTATACACAGTTGAAAAGTTTGTGTTAAATTTAACATAATATGGATATGTTAAATGATTACACTATTAATATTTTAACACATATTAAATGCAAATCTCAAATCGTATCAGTGAGTGGTAAATTACTTTCTATTTTAAGTTGCCGTTGCGCATACAATTACTTCTTTGAAATTTTTCAACTGTGTATATTCCACTCGAGAACAGCGTCAGGTAGAACATCCGCGCCTTAAACGTAAGGGAGGCTCGGCCCTAATCTAATCGCATTCGTCGACGAGCGCACGTCGAGCCTCGCGGCACCGCGCGACTCTCAAAAAGCGGCGAAAGCGGGCGGCCGCTCAAGGTGGACGTTGCACTCGTTTTCTCTTATTTTCGCCGGTTGCCTTTCGGGTCGAGTCCGATCGACCGGCCGGGCTCGCGCCTCGAGACCGACGTCCTAAAGTGCATATTGCACCGGTCCGCCTTAATGGCGGGATGGCGTGACGGCTCGCGGGAGCGCGGGGTGGCGGACGGAACGAAACGAAACGAAACGAAACGAAAGCCGGGGCGGGAACGCGATGTCGCGTGTCCCGCGCCGTGCGTTTCGCGGTCGCGTGTGTCGCGGATATTACACGCGAGCCTTGGACCCCGGTCCGAAAATGTCTCGCCGCACGAACGGGCCTCTCTCGCGAGCTCGCCTCTCACTTGCACTTTTAATTTCTTCGCTCGTTGCGCACTCGACACCGCGCGAGTCGCCCCGTCCTCGCTCGTCGCGAGGCGCTTACGATGCAAGATCGTAACGGGAGATCGCAATCCCCGATCGTCTTCGGCGCGCAGCGTAACGTCGAGACGGTTGCGATTTATTTAGCGTCCCGCTGTAAAGTTCTTATTTTTACGGCTATCTCATCCGATATTTAATTCCCCTTTATTGACCCCTAGATTTTCCTGTGTATTTTTATTTCAAGCTTCAATATTTTAGTGGGGCAGCTACGGGAAGAGCGAAATGAAAAAAAAACCCGTTTCGACCATTTCGGCATCGCGTAAATAATTTCTGGATAAAAATCCGAAGAAATTTCCAACTTGTGCGCACACGTTGGAATAGAAACGCTGCTAGATTATCGGCTCCGCCAGCGGACCCAGAAGAATCGATTCCTAGTGACTCAAATGGGCTGTCATTAAAGTAATAGCGATAGTTTCGGAACACCTTGCGATAGATATTATCTCGCGATACCCCGGAGATTTCAAACCGGGTACAATTTGCTTTTTAATTTTACGACGTGCAATCTTATCTGCCCAAGAAAGCTGTAGGATATTATTAGACCTTCCTAGGCCCCCGTCTCTTTCCCTAGTGCCAGTGAGCTAGCATCGCGATATAGAGGAAAGTCCCCTATTCTAAGATAGGCCTCTAATGTGAGACAGCAGGTTTTCAGCGTCCAAGTTCAATGGCAAATCCTTTTTTTTTCGCGATCGATTTCACGATCTAACAAAGAATTTTCTACAGATCTCACTTCAAGAGCAACAAATTCACGATGGAACCGATAAATGGTGCCTGTTAATCTAACGGAAACCCCGCTATTTCATATTAGGAGCTTGTCTCGCAATAGGGGACTTTCCTCTATAAGTGTACATATGCAATATACACTGGTCCCAAAGTCGAAAGGCAAAGCTTCTTAGGCGAAAAGGGCCGTGAGTTCCCAGCCCGGCGCACCACCTTGCGCAGTCTCGCGTATCTCCCTTCGGCTGAGAACTTTGATAGCGTACGTCGACATGTTCTCCTGTTGCGTGGGAAAGTGCTGCATAATGACACGGTCATTCTTTGCACGTCGGGCGAAGCCAATAGCGGATGCGCTGTCGGAAAGTCCATCAAGACGGCGGGTAACTGCGTGCTCGCCGCCAAGATTTTCTCTCGTTTTACTCGGCGTTTGAATTCTCTCGGGGTATTAACTGCGCCGTCCCCTCTCCCCCCCCCCCGTCTTCGTGTGAAATTACAGAAATACATTATCCACGCCTCGCCGGCTACAAATAATTTCGATCATTACGGCGCCGCGTCGCCATTCAGTTTCTTATTTCGTTAATTCAATCCCGCCCGTCGATACGCAGCTATATTTAGCCGCGAGGACTTTAAATCCTCCGCGAGTCTCGCGCGCGTTAGCGGTTTCGGCTTTAGTTATAATACACTTTGAAATAGGAGACCGTCACGTTATCGCGATCGTTAGTCCGTTGTGGTAGGCGAGACTAGCAATTAGTCATCGCCTCGCGTCGAAATTGTCGAGTATTTCTCCGTTCCGGAACGACGCGGAATGCCGATTCTTTGTTCCCAGTCGCGTTGTGCCGTTAAGCGGCTCGCTGCTGAAACACCTGACGTCGCCAGGCGGTCGTCTGGTCAGGCTGGCAGCAAGCAGCCAGCCAGCCAGCCAGCCAGCCAGCCAGGCAGCCCGCGTCGTACGTAAGTACATACCTGTGGCAGGTGAATCGAGTCAGGTGCTCCAACAGATGGGCGCCTTTACTCGAGAAAGCGTTATAAAAGCGGTCTATCATAAATGTGGGTTACTAGCTATGACTAACGCCCGACGGTAGAACGAGCTTGCGCTCGCGCGCGTCCGTAATTCGCCAATTACTTTCGCGCGGTTTCACCCGGCGACGCTCGCCGAAAAGAAAAACGGCTCGGAGATTTTGATCCGCGTTAGATATCTCGACGTACAACACTTGTTCGGGGAGCCCGTGGGCGGCGGGCACGCTCGCGCGAGAACTCCCGAGAGGAAATCGGCGTGCGAGTGGAACCGCGCGTAATCGCGAGACGTTTCCATTTCCCCGCACCTCGGCGACGAATTTTTCGCGCATCTCGGCAATACGTGGGACGGTTTAACGGCCGGGTCTCGTGATATCTCGACTGCGCGGCGGACCGCCGAGAGGCCGAGGATTTAAATCCTCGGCTCGCCAATCCGAGATGGAGGATTCCCGCCGCCGACGAGAGAGCCCGCTCGAACGTCCTTCAGCGAGCGTTTCCGCGCGTCTCCGAGAGGAAGGAGCGTAACGAGCGTGTCTTCTTTTCTTTTTCTTCGT